AACTCAGTGACTGTTAGCCGCAAGCTTCTGGTGGTCAAACTCTTCAGTATTCCGATCTTCAGTATTTAGTCATAGTAAGACTAAAAATTAAGGATTATTCCCGCATATGAATTCTTTCTTTATAGTCTCCTCACGGGTGTCCCGTTGTAGCGCATAACTTCAATATCCAGTAAGGATAGTCGTTCATCCTTCTCCAACTCCATTGTAAATTTAATTATTTAATCAAGTTGGTTAATGAAATTGAGGAATCCATTCTCAATTTCTCTACCATGTGACCAAAGTGTAAAGTAGTCATCAAAGTATTGCATTAGTACTCTTTGTTACAGTTGTGACTTCTCGAATTCCCTTTCCAACTTGTACATGTACACATTTGCCAAAAGAGGTGAGGATAGGGTGTGCCATCCCACAAATGTTGTGGTTGTATAGTGAACCTAATGGAAGCAAGCCGTACCACAACGTTTGTGGTTTTTCACACAAGAGAAAAAGGCATAGGAAGTCATAGATAGAAACAGGATAGACGCGGCTGCGATGGGAGCTAGTGGGCTGACAGTATGCTTGGCTTACCATACACGTGGTCCATGAAGCAATGGTTTGACCATGGCAATTATTCAGAGGCTTTAGCATCAAGTTAGTACCCCAGAGGCAGAGTGTGGGAAACAACGTCTCGAATAGCATAGATGGTGTGGTAGGAGGCAAGAGGGAGACTCTGATAGGGCCTATGGGATGAGGATTGTGGGGTGAGATGGTGAGAAGGCTGGAATGGGATTTGGAGAGTTTTCGTGCAAGCCGCTCAAAATGACACATCGTACCACATTTAAATTGGCAAGTAAAATTGTGATAGTGAATGCGTGGTACGAGGATATATGATTTGTGATTAGCTTATGGCGGAAGGAGAGATACCACGATTATTTAGCACACAATTGGTCAAATAATCGGCTTTGCTTGTCTTTTTGTTGAGTTGTAGTCTGGTACTAAGTATGGCAAGACTCAGTGACGATGCCGACTACAAGCCGGCGAAGCGTCTGAAAATTTATCACATCCACTGTCCGACTCTGGAAATTATTATGCATACAATGGACTCCAGACTAGGTAAGTTCCTCTAAGTCTTTATACCAATATGACCATGTTGCGAAAACAAGGGAAAACAACTTCTATAAAACGGAAGGAAGTTGCGACCCCACAAATGGCCGCACCATCTTGGTCTTCATACTTTCGATAAATCAATTTGTAACTACTCCTCATCCATATTCGCACTTCCCTGCAATCTGCACTCTCATTTGTTTCTAAAACACAGTTATTAAATTTCCAATGTTGAAACCTTACCAATAAAATGTAATTAATCGTTAACCCTAATTTATGTTATTCATCTCATTTCATTCTAATATTCCTTGTCAAATTGCCTTTTTTTAAAATAAAATAATGTTTAATATTTTTCGATATTTATACTTTACAAATTTTACACTTTACCCTTATTCACGGACTTAGCTTTCCTTTAATCTCAAAATAAATAAGAGTAATGTTCGACTATTAGGTGGTTCTTAGTCTATATATTTATTACTGATGATTAATTTATATTTATCGTGCGAGAAAGTAATACTAGACTTTTTCATGATATAGTTTGTAGCTTCATTATTTATTCATCTTTTACAATCTATAAATAGTATCCTGAGTCGAATACAGTAACGTTTTCCTAAAAATAGATAAAAGTTTAATTTACACACAACAACAACTATGTGCAGCGTCACTGCTAC